GGGGCGGGGGCTGTCACCTGAGAGGACCCGGGGAGGGGAGGCCGGCGCCCTCCGCCCAGCCCCGCCCTGCGCGGTGCAGCCGCCAGCGCCCACCCTCTGGGCTCTCCTCCGGCTCCCCTGAGTCCTTAGCCGGCTGACCCGAGGGACGACCGAGTGCGAGACTGAGACGACGGTCGGGTGTCTCTGTGAGGAGGCAGAGGACGGTCGGAAGTCCCCCTGGCCTGACCTCCAGGGCAGCACTGGCCTCCCGGTCCTCAGCCCCTTCTACCTGTGAGCCCGGCCTGGATCGGTGCCGCGCCTCCGCGGCCCAGCCCCTGCCCGCTTCGCTGCTCTCCCTGGCCCCCTCCTCTCTGCATTCAATCAGGCCCCTTCCAAAGTCTAAAGGACCAGAGTCCTTCCTGGATCGCCGTCTCACCAGCACCCCACCCGCCCTTCCCTCTGGCTCCACTGCCAGCTCTTCAGCGAGTCTGCACCCCACCTCGGATCTTCCTCACCTGCTTCTCGCCGCCCCCCTGCCCCGGTTCCGCATTGGGCCTTCCTGCCCAGCTTCTCCAGAGTGGTTCCGTGTTCTTGAAACACCACCTCCTTATTTCGGAGTTCCCAACTAACTGTAGGTACCACCTGGGCACTGGCCTTCCTCCTCTGTAGAATAAGGATAATAAAAGCCCCATTTTCCGGCGGTTTTGTGCAGATTGAATGACATGAGGCACGTGAGGGCCTTAACCTAGGCCGGCACATTTTCCTTTCATTGTAGTTTATTGAAGTAGTCTTCCTCCACTGGACAGAGTAGCAAGGGCCTAGACCTTGCAAGGTTGGCCTAGAGCTTTGGGACAAAGGCCTCCAGAGAATGTAATTGATCTGCCCAACAGAGTGAGGAATTTGGAGTCCACAGGAAGTAAGATGAAAGGAGAAGGAGGTTAAGAGAAGGATGTGGGCATTTCTTGGAGTAGGTGGGGAAATGTGTGGAAAGGACATTTAAGAACTGGGATGTGCTGTCTGGGACATAGCCTAGTGGTTAAGGAACCTGGATCCCACACAGCTGACAGTGGTTCAGGTCCCAGCCCCAGTGACTGGAGAAACACGCCAGGTGTGTTTGGAGAGATGTGGGGAGAGGGATTGCAGCATTGGGGGGGTGGTTCTCTCCCTCTCTGTCCCAACCCGGGGGGACAGTCAAACAGGTTTCCTGAGGGAAGGAGTGAGAGACTGGATGAATGACGCAGTGTCACAATGCTTCAGGGTCGTCTGGAGACGACACGGTGTCACAACTCTTCAGGGTCTTCAGGATCATCTGGCGATTGTGGGCCAGGAATCCACGGTGTCACAACTCTTCAGGGTCTTCAGGATTATCTGGCGATTGTGGGCCAGGAATCGCAGTTATGTACATGTTGGTGGGCTGTGATTGGTTGAATGAAGGATAGTAAAAAGGTGGGTTATGATTGGTTGCTTTTGTGGACCAATCATGAGGTGCCGGATATGCAAATCTGAGGGATTCTAAGCTCACCGATTTGCTATGGGAAGTGGCCAATCAGAGTATGGTTTAGCCAATTGTGGCCTTTGTAATTGTTTGCTCTCTGAGCCTAAGATGGCCATAGTAAGAGACTCATGAAAATGGCCTGGGCAGACTGGCTGGTGCGCAACCTCCCACACCTCTCCCTCCATTTCTCTCTCTGGTAAGTGCATGTACCCTCTGGCAAAACAAAGCAAAACTGAAGAACTGGCACGTCCAAACTGAATTTGAAGTTGTTGGTCTCGTGTTCATCCCTTCATCTGTCATGGGCCAAAGGCATAGATCCCATGCAAGTAAGTTTTCTTTATTGTGTGGAACTTACAGAAAGAGGCTGAGCTTTACGTTCGAATAGCACACATTGGTGGGTTAATAATAATGTGCAAAGAATGCTCGCGGATCACTGAGGCGTTTAAAGCCAGAGGTAATTAAAATCTATTTTAATATTAAAATCTACTTTAATTTCCAGAGGATATGTGTACTCGCCAGGGAGAGTCAGAGAAAGAGGGACCAGTGAGGCTCCATTTCTCCACCCCATCGAGATTTGGGGCCCACACATGTGTCCGATTTGTTTGTCAAGTTGCCAGGGCTGGGATTCAAGTTGTGGTCAGCCATGCAGGATCTAGCTCCCTTAACCACTGTACTATGGGGCCAGTCCATCTTCACCAACATTTTAGAGAATAAAAATAATAGTAGAGAATACTCTTAAACTCATTTAGAGGACTTCCACCACTGTGCTTCACAAACCAGTGATGGACAGAAAAAGAAATATGAGCGACAAATCTGTCTTAAGAACAAAGATGCAAAAATCCTACATAAAATATGAACAGATTGAATAGGGAAATCTATTTAAAGAGACGTCATGACCAAGTTGATTTTATACCACGAAAGCCAAGATGGTTTACAATGATGAAATTTACTAATGTAATTTTTGTTTGTTTGTTTTTGCTATAGAGCATGGATGTTTCAGAGAGAGAGGCGGGGGTGGGGGAGAGTGAGAAATCACTCCTCAGGGGGGATGACTACGCTTCAATGCCTTCTGCTCCATTCTCCTCTTTGAATTTTGGCCACGCATGCACACACACACACCTGGTGTGGTCTTTTTCTTTCTTCCTTCCTTCCTTCCTTCCTTCCTCCCTCCCTCCCTCCCTCCCTCCCTCCCTCTCTCCCCCTCTCTCTCTCTCTCCCTCTTTTCTTTCTTCCTTTCTCTTTCTTTCTCCTTTCTTTTCTTTCTTCCTTTCTTTTCTTTCTTCCTTTCTTTTCTTTCTTCCTTACTTTCTTTAAGAGAGGTTTCCTATAGGGTGCACGCGCTTGATAGAAAGACACAGAGAGATAGAAAGTGAGAAATCACCCCGCAATCCCTTCTCCATTTTTCTCTCAGGATCTTGGGCATCCATGCGCATGTGCCCAGCGTGAGTTTAAGCCACCAGGTTCAGGACTTGAACCACAGTCAACTGCATGGGAGTCCAGCAAAGTAACCATTATGCTATCTGCTGGTGAATTCTAAGCAATTTTATCACACGTGTAGGTGAGTATAACCACTGCCACAATCAACATACAGATCTGTTTCATCATCACAATCTGTTTCATCTCCTCTTACTCCTTAAATCTTGGTAACAGTAATTAGTTTCCATCTCGACACTTTTGTCCACTGTAAGGTGTTCTCTAAGTAGAGTTATCCTATAGTATGTATCCTTTTAAGATTGACTTTCTTCACTCTGTGTAATTCATGCGAGATCTGGCTAAATTCTTCTTTCTTTCTCTCTCTCTTTCTTTCTTTTTCTTTTTCTTTTTTAGAGGAAGCTTCTTTGCTATAGGGCATGTGCACTTGCAGGAGAGAAACAGAAGGTGAAGAATCACCCCCCAGAGAGGATGGTCATAGCAATCCCTTCTCCTCCGCTCCTGTCAGGATTTTGGGCACACATGCACACATGCCTGGCATGAATTTTAAGTTTCTGGGTCTGGGTCGCAAACGGCAGTCAACCATGTGGGAGTCCAGCAATGTAACTATTATGCCATCTGCTGGTCCCTATATTAAGTTTTTTAAAAGAAGCTCCCAAAATATTTTCCAGGGTGGCTTTTTCATTTTATATTTCCACCAGTGACTTATGAGAGACCCAGTTTCTCCACATCCTGGTCAACATTTGGCGTTGTCACTATTTTTATCTTAGCTGTTCTATTACTTTAGATGCGTGGTAATGTTTGTCATATCTTTAATTTGCCTAAGTTTTTAAATAGTTATTTATTTAATTTTATTCATTCATTTTATTTTATTTTTATTTTACCAGAGTGAGATACAGAGAAAGAGAGAGAGACAGAAAGTGAGAAAGCAAGCCACCACGTCTGGGACTTGAACCGTGATTGGCTATGTGGAAGTGTCCAGCGCCTTAACCACTACACCACCTGCTGGTCCCCAATTTGCCTGCTTTTTAAAATGGTATCTACGGTCTCAATAAGTTGTTTGATATTACTTATTCTGCTCCCTGGTTACTCAAATAAAATACAGAATGCTTCACAAATTTGCAAGTCATCTTTGCACAAGGCCATTCTAGTCTTCTCTGTATCATTTCAATTTTTAGAATATGTGCTGCCAGGCCAGCAGTGATGTGGTTAAGGTGCTGGACTCCCTACATGGCTGACTGCAGTTCAAGTCCTGGACCTGGTGACTTTCTCTCTCTTTCTTCCTCTCTCTATCTTCCTCTTTCACTCTGGTGAGTATATATGTCCTATAGCAAATTTTCAGAAAATAATAAGAACATTAACAATTTTTTGCTTGCTTCCTCTCTCTCTCTCACTGTGTTCCTCTCTGGTTAAATAAAAATAAATAAATATATAAAAATAAGTTAAATAAAATAATTATTAAAAAAGAAAGAAAGGAAGAAAGAAAGAACAAATGAAAGAAAGAATCCAAAGAGAGTGTGTATCTTTTCCCTCATTTCCTGGAGGGTAACATCTTGCAAAGTTCTATTACTATGTTACAATCAGAATCTGATACTGATAATGCGAAAACAGAGCATATTTACACATGTTGCACTTTTAATGCCAAACCACTTCCTTCTACCTGCAGGTCCTCCTTAACCCCTCACAATCACTAATCTGTTACCTATCTGTAATTCTGTCATTTCAAAAATGTTACGTAGGGCTGACCTAGTGGTTAAGGGAGCCAGAGCCTACATGGCTGATCAGGGCTTGAGTCTCAACTCTGGTCACTTGAAAAACATGCCAGTGTGTGTGCATGGGTGCCCCAGATCTGGCAGGATTGAGAAATGGAAGAGAGGAGATTGTGGCATGACCATGCCCCCCTGGGAGATGCTTTCTCTCTCTCTCTCAGAAATTCACGTGCCCTCCAAGAATCTTTCCGTAAAGTTATATAAATGGAGTCTTACACTGTGTGATCGGGGGTTGGCTTTCTCCACAGCATGACTCTCCGGCCCGTCACCCATGGGAGGGCATGTATTCATAGTGCATCACTTTTTATTGCTGAGTAGGATCCCACAGTGTAGCTACACTGCCAGTTGTTTCATTTACCCACTGAAGAAAGTCTGGTTCTTTCTAGTTTTTATTTACTTCATTTTTTTTAGGTGTTTTTGCCTTAGGGTGCATGTGCTCACCAGAGAGAGAGACAGGCAGACAAACACAGTGAGAGGAAAAGTGAGAAATCACCCCTCAGGGGGATTGGCCACACCACAATCTCTTCTCCATTCTTCTAGGATCTTGGGTACGTGTGCACATGTGTCCAGCATGAGTTTTAAGTCACTGGGTCCAGGACTCAAACCACAGTCGGCTATGTGGGATTACAGTGATGTAATCCCTGCTGGACCATTTTAAAAAGTTTTTTGTTTGTTGTTGTTTTTGCCAAAGGGCACGTGTGCTTACTGAAGAGACAGAGAGAGACAGTGAGAGAGAAAGCGAGAATTCACCCCCATGTGGATGTCCATGCCGCAATTCCTTCTCCTCCAATTCTCCTCCCGGGATTTGAGGCATGCATGCACGTGCCCCTGGTGCGAGTTTCAAGCTGCTAGGTCTGGGACTTGAACCACAATTAGCCTTGTGGGAGTCCAGTGCCTTGCCCACCATGCCACCTGCTGGCCCCAAGTTTTGTTTATTTTAAATAAAGTAAATGTTCATGTGTAGATCTTTGTGCAAATGTAAGTTTCCGTTTCTCTGGATAAGTGCCTGGGAGTGCGATTGCTAATGTATGGTAAGCCCTGTGTTTGTTTGTTTTTAATTTCCAGACCGTTTTCCAAAGTGGGTGTACATTTTACCTTTCCACCAGAAATGTGTGAGTCATCTAGTCAAGTAGACTAACTCCTCTCTCTTTATTCTTTTTCAAAATTACTTTATTTATTCTCTAGTATCTCCTTTGCCTCAGCACACACGCTTTCAATATTCATGTGTGTGTGTGCACCTGTATGTGCGTTCGCTTGTTTATGCTAGACGAGGTCTTGCTATGTTGTCCAGACTGGTCTGGAACGTGTAATCTTCCTGCCTCAGCCTCCCGAGTAGCTGGAATTACAGACGTGTGCTACCGTACCCAATTCTTGTCTATGTTGCTAGCACTTTGATAGAAATTGTGTTAAATATGTATATGAGTTTGAGAACAGATGACATCTTTGCTTTGTTGTCATTTTCTAATCTATACTATGTCTCTATTTAATTAACTCTTTGATTTCTTTTGTAAACATGTAATTTTCAGCAAACCAGTCCTAAACAGGTTTTGTTAGTTTTACCCTAAATATATCATTTCTAAGTGATTATAAATGTTATTGTATTTTTTTGTTTTAGATTTTTGCCAGAGTGCATGCACTTGCCAGAGAGAGAGAAAGACAGAGGAGAGAGAGAGACAGAAAGTGAGAAATCATCTCCCCGGGGGCATGGTCACACCACAGTCCCTTCTCCTCCATTCTCCTGTCAGGATTTTGGACACTCACACACATGAACCTGTCACGTTTTCCAAGTCACTGGGTCTAGGACTCGAACTGCAGAGTTGGCCATGTGGAATCCAGCACCTTAACCACCATGCCATCTACTGGCCTGTGTTATTATATTTTCTGAAAGTTTATTTATTTTACTCGTGAGAGACAGCACATGTATGTATATGTAAGAAAGAGTAACAGCGTGAGAGAGAGAGAAGGAGGGAGAGGCAGCCACCTTCCATAGCGACTCATCGTGCCATGACCCCCTGCCCCCAGCCCTTCACAGCCCCAGCATGATTTCATGTCTGTTAGGGTCCAACCCGCAGTCAGCCATGTGGCTTCCAGCACTGCCATTCAGCATGCTACCACCTTCTCTGCTGAGGCTGAGTCATTACTGTATTATTAACTCCTCAGTCTATGTGTTCACTGCTACTATACAGAAATGTTATTTTTGTATATTTATCTTCTATCCTGATAGTCTGTTTAACTTGCTTATTCATTCTTGGAGGTAATTATTTTGTAGGTTTAAACATGTTCTATGTAGACAAGTGCCTGCAAATAGGGACAGTTTTGTATTTTCTTTTCCTATCCTATTCTTTCATTTCCTATTCTTGCTTTATGGCACTGGCTCGTATTTCTAGCACTTCGCTGGTTCTCTTATTTCAGATGCCGAATCCCCTTTCAGTTTATGCCTGCTTTTGGTCACGTTACTGTGCCCTGATGGAGTTTTTATTTTTGTTATATATTTTGACCCGACTTTATCATTGTTGTCTCTAAGAGAGGACTGATCAGAGACAATCTCTTCTACATGAGAACTGGAACTCAACCCCATTTAGGAACTGAACAAAATGTCGTGAGTACTTTCTTTTTCCTGAGTAGGTATGAGACTGGACGAGTCCCTGCCTTCATAGAGCTGATATTTAGGACTGGGGGTCCGGATAAGACGGGAGTGTGCTGAGGACTCTATGAGGAGAAACTGGGGTTCGGGTTAGGTCTACTGGTTATCTACTGGTATCGACTCTGAGAAGCATTTTGCCGGGGTTCTCTCTACAGTTCTGTCTCACACGTCCTCCGCTTAACCAAGAGGCCCTCGAACCTTTCTTTCACTGTCTCGGCTTCCTTCCCTTAGTCTGCTCCTCGCGTTGTCCTTCCTCCTCCCTCTTTCCTAGTTTCTCTCCACGTTACTCGCTGAACGTTCTCTGCGCCCAGCACTGTGCTCTTTACTGTAGAGGGCGTGTTTTCCTTACCTAATTCCCGTTGGTCCTCAAAGACTCACCTCCTCTCCGGGCTCAGCAAACTGGATTAGCCGAGAACAGGATGAAAATGCACTGTTTTAATTGCCAAAGGGTATGAACTCTGGCCAGAGAGAGACAGAGACAGAGAGAGAGGGGCAGTCAGCACCCCCGGCAGGGCATGGCTCACAGCAGTCCCTCCTGTGTCTCCAGCCTCCTGGGATTTGGGGCCTGGATATACACACACTCAAGCTGCCAGGGTCAGGATTCAAACTGTGGTTGCCATGGGGGATCAGGTCCCCTTAACCTAACTAAGCTATGGGGTCAGCCCTGGAAATCCATTTTTAATTTTTTAGACCCTAATATTTCTTGAGGACCTGCTATGTGTCAGTGTTGCAGTGTGAGGAAGTAATCGGATGACATAATCGTGGAAAGATAGCTAGAACTACCATTTATTAGTCATGGTGATGGTTAATTTTACTTGTCACTTTGAGCTAAGGAATACTCAGCTGGTAAGATGTTCTTTCTGAGGGTGTCTCTGAGAGCATTTCTTTTTTTCGTTTTAGAGAGATTTTTGCTATAGGGTAGTGTGCTCGCTGGAGAGACAGAAAGCGAGAAACCACTGTGGGAGTCCAGGACATAACCATTATGCCACCTGCTGGCCCGCCCTCTGAGAGCATTTCGGAAGCCATCAGCCTGGCGCGTAGTAATGGGCTGAACAAAGAAGGCCCCCCTCACTTATGGCAGCGGCATCGCCCAATTTACTGAGGACCCAGAGAGAACAAAAAGGCGGAAGTGAACTGTCTCCCTCTCCTCCTGTCCTTGGCACAAGAGCTCCTGGTTCGTGGGCCTTTCCCCAAGACTTAAATGACTCCCCTCCTCCATTCCACCCTCCTCCATTCCTCCCGTTCTTAGGCCTTTGGCCTGGGACTCAATGACTCCCTGGCCTTCTGGCTCTCGGGCTTGCAGAAGTGTATTGGGGCACTCCTTGGCCTCCACGTGGCTTGAGTCAACTCCCCTGATAAATATCCTTTCATATCCACAAGTGAAACCCTTTGGTTTGGTGGACACTACTAAAGTTTATCTTCTCTTTCTTTCTCTCTTTTTCTTAAGTTTGCTATAGGGCATGTGCACTGGCCAAAGACAGTCAGAGACAGAGAGAGAGAGAGAAAGGGAGAAAGCACCCCCTGGGGATGCCCATGCCACAATCCCGTCTCCATTCGCCTCTGAGGATTTTGAGCCCCTGGGGGTGCTTTCTCCTTCTCTCTGTCTCCATCTCTCTCCCGCCAGGGCACAGGCCTGGCTTGTGTCTCAGGCAGGTCCAGAGCGACAACCGCAGTCAGCGGGATCCTGCCGTTTTAATCACTGCGCCATCGACTGACCCCAAATGTTTATGACTTTTCTATTTGCATTATTATAATGATTGTATATTTAAATACTTAATATTTAAGTA